CTGAGCCCACTGAATACACAATGTGTCCTTAAGAAATTTAATCCCCTCACTGTTGCCCAAGGTATACGGATTAATTCCTCCCAAGATAGAACAGAATAACTATTTTGTGATAGCGACACTTCAAATCACAGAACTTCAGCGAACTCAACAAACAGAGCAAATCACACTTGACACTTATGTTTATTTAGAAAATAATGCAACAATATAGAAAAGAGGAGAAAATATTTCAGATTTTTCATTACTAAAAAATGAAGTCAAACCTCTAAATTTATAGATAAAGGAAGGGTGAGATGGAGAGGTATAATCCAAAAGGTGCCTCTTCCATTTTCCATTCACACCCCTTAATAAAAATGCAACAATCCCCCACATGAATGGGGAATGGGCATCTGTGTAAAAACATGCATGAAAATACAGTGTGATTCGCAAGTAAGGATTCATCGCATCTGAATAAGTAAGTTTCCCTTTGAACTTTCCGTAGTGAACTTATGTCGGATATACTAGGTCAATCGGTAGATTTGATATCTTTGAACCGTCGAGCTTTGGTGTATACCTAGACAACCATAAGTCACACAATCAATCCTTAACCGTCTTTGGTTCTCACGGTTGTGTTCGTTTCAGCCCTGAACACCGCTTGGTTTCATGAGTGCTTAGAGAATGGGCCTTTACTTTCATTCCCCTTAAATCGACTTACACTTCACACTCACATAGGTGATTACTAAACGTGTAATCCTATAAACACACTATCTGGTCATATCCTGCCAGACTTAGCAAATCATTAAAAAGCTTTAAGCTTTATTGACTCATCAAAAAGCCTTAATGTTTTACCTTAATTTCTGAACATTGTCTTCATCACGAGAATGGGTTGAGTTATTTGACAATGTTGAACCGTCATTCATAACTTTGTTTGATCTCTTTGAACCTAGCTCTTGGGATATTCAGTCTGCTAGGTAGAGTTACCGCCATGATGACTTGTCCTAGGCCATAGCCCCATTCTCGTCGATGATCTTTCAACTGCCTCTCTAGATAGGCCTTTTGTAAGTGGATCCAACATGTTATCTCTTAGCTTTACGTAGTCAATTGTGATAACACCACTAGAGAGTAGTTGTCTAACGGTCTTGTGTCTCTGTCGAATGTGACGAGTTTTTCAGTTATACATTACGCTCTCTGCCCTGCCTATTGTCGCTTGACAATCACAATGTATACATATAGGTGCCAAAGGCTTGGGCCAAAATAGAATATCTTCCAAGAAATTCTGGAGCCATTCAGCTTCTTCACCGGCCTTGTTTAAGGCTATAAACTCAGCCTCCACTATAGAGCGGTCAATGTATATTTGTTTGGACAATTTCCAAGACATTGCTCCTTCACCGACTGTTTAGAATCGGTTGAACTGGTGATCTAATTTGCATCACTATACCCCTCCATTATCGCGGGATACTTATTATAGTGCAAAGCATAATTATGGATATATTTTAAATATTCCAAACTCATTTTATTGTCCTGACATTTCAATGCGAACTTCCTTATGTCGTAGACTAATACGTCTCGACATTCTATTGCATATCAGATTATTGACTACACTTAATGTAGCAATAATATATTATAACAACAGCTGGAATGATTGTCATCAGTTGTGGCCACAACCTTTTAATATATAACACATTTATTAATCACTCTGTCATTTCAAGTATTTGTATGTTATTTATTCATACGCCTATATGATATGCAAATTATAGCACCTCCATTCATGAAACAAATCCAACTTGCAATGAATTTTGGTCATGTTCATCGGTTGGTTCACCTCATTATAGACCAATGTATTAATACATTCGTTCATGAACGGTCATGTCCATACAAAAACGTACAGACGTATCTTTCTATGAAAAATCACAACCTTCAAAGTGATATCATTTCATAAAAGAACTAAACAATATAAATTTTCAATAAAGAAAATGATCTTTCGAGAAAAGCACGTGATCAACTTCCGAATTAGCAGTTTCATCAACTAGTCTTCATTAAGACTAAACAACTGATGAATTTACCAACTACCATATCAATGGGGTTCAAAAATGATATCATTTAGACATTACGTCTAACATTGGCTTTTTTCATACATAAGCTAAAAGCCCCCACATTTTAAATATTTCATCAACATATCATCTATATATAATCAAATAATGACTATATGATTTGAAGTATTCTTAATGTAAACACATTTGTTTACACTCATTAATTTTTGAAGCCATTTGATAATATTATTCGGTCAAATCTCGCATGTCATTGTTTGGGTGCTTGTAAAGTGACTTAACAAGTTGACACACCTTCTTTTCCTTTCCAGGAACCACGAACCCTTCAGGTTGTTCCATATAAATTTCTTCCTCCAAATCTCCATTTAAGAAGGTTGTCTTTAAGTTCATCTGATGGATTTCAAGGCCATACACCGCGGCTAACGCTATTAACACCCGAGTAGATGTAATCCTCGTTACCGGCGAGTATGTATCAAAACAATCAAGATCTTCTCGTTGTCTAAATCATTTGACAACTAATCTTACCTTATATTTGTCAATAGTACCATCATCTTTNTCGTCAGCTTTCATTTCCTTTATGAAAATCCACATAGAACGCAAAGGTTTATTTCCTGGAGGAAGATCAACAAATTCCCAAGTATGATTACTTAATATGGATTCTATGTCACTATTGACGACCTCTTTCTAACATTGCTTCTTTAAATGTTTGAGGCTCACTTTCTAACAAGAATGTCAGAAAATCTGGTACAAAGGAAGTAATTATCCTTTGACGTTTACTACGTCTTGAATTTTTCTAATTCAACGTACTTTTCTTTGCTTCTTCCCGAGTTCGCTTAGATATTTCACTAGACAACTCACATTCCTTTTTATACAGATAAATATTCTCAGAGAATTCAGCATTATCTGATTCGATTACCGTATGAATATGAATGTCGGGATTTTCTGATTTATGAATCAAAAAACGATATGTCTTACTATTTGTTGCATATCTTATGAAAACGCAATCAATGATTTTCGGTCCAATATTTACCCTTTTGGGTTTAGATACTCGCACTTTAGCGAAACACCCCCATACTTTAAAATATTTAAGTTGGGCTTCCTTCCATTTCATTTTTCATATGGAATGGATTGCGTCTTGCTATGGGGAACTCAATTGAGTATTCGGTTAGTTGTAAGAATAACTTTTCCCCCACAAGTTCTGGAGTAAACCAAAACTTATCAAGAAGACATTCATCATCTCCTCTAACGTTCTACTCTTTCTTTCCACAATTTCATTAGATTGCGGTGACTAAGGAGTCGTCGTTTGATAAATAATACCACATTCCAAACATATTTCTTGAAAAGGAGATTCACATTCATCGCCGCTATTACGTTGTAGAGCAAACTACAAGAACTGCTGTTTGTGTCACGACAGAGCCAGAATTAATTAATGGTGAAGTTTTTAATCTTCAAACCATTCTGACACATTCAGAATTAATAAACAGTGAAGTTTTTTTAATCTTCAAACCGAGTAACATTGGATACAACTGAATCTAATAAACTGTGAAGTTTTTTATTCTTCAAATCGAGTATATGTGACACAATCAAATTCAATAAACGGTGAAGTTTTAATCTTCAAACCGAATAATAAATTGGAGTAGAAAACCACTAATATTTTAATCTCCAAAACGAGTATAAAGTCGCTTAGACTTTAATTTCTGACAAATGTATAGAAAGTCACAAAGACTTTAATCTCAACGATCGAGTAAAAAATCACACAGATTTTGATCTCAAAGAGGAACAGAAAATCACGAAAATTTTGATCTCCATAACGGGTGTAAAAATCACAAAATTTTTTAATTCTCTTTCCAAATGGTTTTCCAACTAAACCATTATAATACTTTAAACAGTTTGATCTCTTTCTCTAATCAAACACATATATGTTCATCTTTATATATATTATATTCATGATCTCAAGAATACTTTCAAGTATCAATGTAAGTCTAATTCATATCTTACAACATTGAAAATAATCTTCCACATTTGCACTTTTTGTTCTAAGTTCTACTTTTCTAATTTTCTGATTTTGAACACCATAATACCAACATGGTGCACAACACTCCGGCTATGTGAGGAGTTTGGCAAGGGTCAGGTCACATTGGTTCTAATGTAAAACTAATGGTATAAATTCAAACTGATGTACTATAGTGTAAATTGTGATCTTTTAATCAGTAAACGTTTTAGTACGATCGACGCATTCTTTGGTAGCGGACTCAACTGAATTTATGGCTTTATGGCTTTCGACTCGACATATATATAAGTATGTCAAAAAATTAAATATATACACCCATGACTTCAATTAGAAATCCATCAGTACCACTACTGATTAGACTCTATATGACGGGGGTTTTCCTACGTGTTTAATAACCAAGTAAATAAAAGGGCAGCCCGAGGCACTAAGCTCCCGCTATGCGCGAGATCCGGGGAAGAGATGGATCACAAAGGTCTATTGTACGCAGTCTTACCCTGCATTTCGGCAAGAGCCTATTTCCACGGCTCGAACCCGTGAATATATAGTCAAATGTCATTTTCAGATAGGACTGATGCTACCACCTCTCTATATATGTCCAAGTTGATGACTCGTACTGATGTTGAAGGTTGCTTCTCCAAACTTTCTTTGTTTTATTTATTTATTCATTTATTTCTCTTTCTCGCTCCGGATACCACTATTTGTTAGGGTGTTAATTAATAACAGAATATCTGAAAACAAGGGATAACACCAAATAATATTAGTATATATATCTTTATCCATCTGTTCTTATCTGTATTTTGAATGTATGGGAAGTTGTTTCTATCTTATTCATTTGTAGGACTCTTACCACTGTTATAGTCTATATAAATAGAAAAATTGTAATCAATAAAAGAACACACAATTGCTTCATCTTTATGGTATCAGAAGCCCCTACTCTAACGAGAATTAGATCCTTAATTCCAGCCATGGTTAACTCTGAAAGCTCAACTACTGTATCCACCACAAACTCAGTTGACATGTTCATCTCCAATATTACCCAAGTTGTCGAGTTTCACCCTTCCTCTCAGCTTCCCATAAAACTATCTGGCAGTACTAATTTTACCACATGGAAAGCCCAATTTTTCACACTTATGTGTGGACATGATCTGATGTCATTTCTTGATGACACCAGCACCTTTCCACCCAAAAAGATAACCAAAGACAACAAAGAAATAGCCAATCCAGAATATAGACTTTGGTTCTGCCAAGATAGTCTCATCCGAAATGCTCTAATGGCATATATTGACGCAACCATTGCACCTTCTATAGCTACTGCTGAAACATCTCAACAAGCATGGGAAATGCTTCACACGACTTATGCAAATAAGTCCCAATCCCGAATATATAGTCTCTGCGATTTGCTGGCCAAGACGACAAGGGACTCCAAATCAGTATCTGACTATCTTCGGGAAATTCGATCACTAGCTGATGAACTTGCAACTGCTGGTGCACCAATCAGTAATGCTAAACTGGTAGTCAAAATAATCAGCGGCTTAGGCCCCGACTATCGTGAGATAAGCACTACTATCCGTGTTCGAGACACACCGATTTCATACGAAGAATTGTTTGACAGACTTTCAGATCATGAATTGTTCCTTAAACATGAGGAGCTCAAGAAGAATACCCTTTCCATCACAGCTAATGTTGCACAGAAGGGTTCAAACAACCATACCTCAGATCGCAACTGTAACAAGCGATGGAATAACCAACAGCCACAAGCACAACATATGAACAATCGTTTACAAGAGCCTTACAATGGTCATCCATTTGGTATGAATCAAGTATTTGTTTCTCGGCCACACTATTAGCGACAAAACTTCCAAATCAACCCACATGGACGTGTTCAATGTCAGCTTTGAGGAAAATATGGCCACACTGCCAATGTGTGTCGTTCGCGTTCTCACAACAATAATGAAGCCAAGGCACTTCTTGCTACACGACAAGGCCAACAAAATAATAACACATGGGTTCTTGACACTGGAGTCTCCCATCACATCGCTACCGATTCACACAATTTGATGTCGCCGCTTGACTACACTGGCACTGAGGAAATCTGCATGGGTGATGGTAACGGTATCCCAATTACTCACATTGGCTCATCTACTCTTTTCATTCCCACTAAAGACTTTTATCTCCATAATATTCTTTGTGCACCTCATATTAAACGAAATCTCATTTCAGTTTCTAAGTTCTGTAATCAAAATCGTACATCTATTGAATTTTTCCCATCTTTCTTTGTTGTTAAGGAGCTAAACACGGGGGCACCATTGGTTCGAGGCCAAAATAGGAATGATCTATATGAGTGGTCAACATCAAGATATCAACCACCATCTGCCCTTACTGCTACAACCAAGCCCAGCTATTACTGATGGCACCAATGACTTGGCCACCCACATTTTTGAGTCCTTCAAGATATTTTAAAGAGTCATTCTCTACCTTGCTTAGGAAATTCTAATTTTCAGTTTTGCAATTCTTGCAATTGTAATAAGAGCCATCGGCTCCCATTTGGTCATATTTCTTTGAAGAGTTCTCATCCACTAGAAATTATTTTTACTGATGTTTGGGGTCCATTACCTATTCTTTCTCTTGATAAGAAGTTATATTACATTATCTTTGTCGATCACTATACCAAGTATACGTGGCTCTACTCTTTCAAATTTAAACATGAGGTCACCCCCATTTTCTCCACTTTCAAATCACTTTAATCAAAAGATAAAAACAATATACTCAGATGGAGGGGTGAGTATGAAGGTCTTCAAACCTTTCTACATGTACATGGCATCCAACATTTATTCCCCCCCCTACATATATACCCCAAAGAGTAGCATTTGTTGAACGACGTCATCGCTACATTATTGAAACCTCTCGTACCTTACTTCACCAAGCATCTCTACCCTCAAATCTATGGACTTTTGCCTGTCAAGTTGCGATCTATTTAATAAATCGCCTTCCGACGACCATTCTGCAAAATAAGTCTCCTTATCAATGCATTTTTGGCACTTAACTAAACTACCTCACCATTCGCACATTTGGTTCCCTCTTCTATCCATGGCTTAAACCATATGCAAAAAATAAATTGGAACCAAGATCCACCCCTCTGCGTGTATGCCAGATTCTCCTCCAAGCATTACTGTTATCAATGTTTTGACCCAATTTCTTCCAAAGTTTATTTGTCACGCCATGTCAAATTTTATGAAGACATTTTTCCCTTTCAAAGTATGTTTTCCTCAGTTAAACATAATAAGCCAAACATTGAGTGGCATGATCTTATCACCACTGAAGCAGTCTCGCCAAGTCAGTCCATTTTAACAGAAGATCTTTTTCCTAATCCACCACCCATACCTATAAACACCTCACAACAAAATAGTGTTCCAGCCATGGTGGATGCTACTCTTACAGATCATTCCTCTCAGTCAAACAACCAGGACTCACGTGTTTTAGAATCCTCTACTATAGGTAAGTCCTCTACCTTGTGTTTATCTGACTCTTCCTCCCTCTCCCCTCATACAACATCTGCTTCATCAGAAATTTTGTCTCTGAATCTTCTCCATCTGCTAAACATCTTGCTTCCAATCATACTAACAAAAACCCATCTATGCCTCCCCCACCATCTCACATAATCACTCGTTCACAGAATAACATTTTTAAACCGAAAATAATTATGGACTATTTAGCTACTTCATCAGATATTCTGCCACCCAGCACTTACAAACAAGCACAAAAACACCCAATGTGGCGTGTTGCCATGAATGATGAGTTTCAAGCACTTCTCAAGAACCAAACATGGGACTTAGTTCCTTTCCAATCATCACACAATGTAGTGGGGTGCAAATGGCTCTTTCGGATAAAATACAAAGTGGATGGGACGATTGATCGGTTCAAGGCTCTCCTTGTTGCAAAAGGCTTCACCCAAAGACCAGGTATTGATTACCATTCTACATTCAATCCTGTTGTTAAACCAACAACAGTTCGCCTAGTTTTGTCAATTGCAATAAACAGGGGATGGCCATTACATCAATTAGACGTCAACAATGCATTCTTGCAAGGAACACTTGATGATGAAGTTTATATGTCACAACCCTCGGGATTTGAACATCCTGATTGTCCCAGACATGTATGTCGATTAAAAAAGGCTAACTATGGACTTAAACAAGCCCCACATGCATGGTATACGGAACTACGGGAATTCCTCCAAAGTTTTGGCTTCTCTCGCACTCAATCTGATCAATCCCTTTTTGTGTACTCCCGAAATGGTATTATTCTGTATTTGTTAGTCCATGTCGACGACATAGTGATTACTGGCAATAACAACGACATGCTCAATCATGCCTTGTCACAACAGAATCTCCTTAAAAGACCTTGGTTATCTCAACTACTTTCTCGGTGTTGAAGTGATTCCTCACAAGGATGGTCTCATCCTTTCTCAATCTAAATATATTTGTGATCTTCTTTGCAAATGGGATATGTTTGATTGTAAAGGTGTCCAAACTCCACTGAGCACATCAGTCACCTTATCACTGAATAATGGCACACCCCTACAGATGCCACCCAATATCGTCAGGTTCTTGGAAAGCTTCAATATCTATCATTTACTCGACCAAACATCTCTTTCGTAGTCAACAAGCTTTCTCAATTTATGCACAACCCTTCCACTATTCATTGGCAAGTAGTTAAATGAGTCATTCGGTACCTTAAACACACAATGTTGTATGTGTTGAGTGCCAAAATTGTCCTACATCGGTAGGAGGACAAAAGTAGGTGGGAATTTTTCCCTATAAAAGAAGGCCTAATGTTTAAAATTTAAACACACCTCTCATTTGCCTTCTTATCTTCTTAAGGCATTTGTATCTTCTCTCTTTAGTATTATTTCACTTGTATTTTTGGAGTGAAATAAAATATTGGTTGTGTTCGAGGAGTAGGCAAAATTGGCTGAACCTCGTAAATTCTGGTGTTTCTTTTATTATTGCTTTATTGTCTTATTTATTACTTGGTGACTGTCATAATTTTTGGTATAGTAGTTGTAACTTATTCACACTATATACATTTGGCTTCTGCAACAATTGGTATCAGAGCCAAGGTATTGTCTAAGTATGCTCTGTGGTTGTAGCATAGTCTGATCTTCCACATCAGAAAAGATTTATCTTGGTAACCGAGTCAAGGTTCTGTCTGAGTATGCTCTGTGGTTGCAGCTTAGTCTGATCTTCCACACCAGAAAGGAAATAATCTTGATTTTTGTTGTCATCTATTAAATAATATTTGTGTCAAAGATGGGAGACAATAAACAAAAAGAATCTACATCAAGTATCAACAGTACGTCATTATTGGCATCTTTGCTTATGACAAGAATTGTGTCAAATACGAAATTTGCGGTAGAAATTTTTGATGGATCAGGACATTTTGGGATGTGGCAAGGCGAGGTTCTAGATGTCCTTTATCAACAAGGGCTAGATCTTGCCATTGAAGAAAAAAGACCAGATGTTATTGGAGAAGAATATTGGAGAATTATCAACCGTGTTATTTGCGGTACCATTCGATTCTACCTTGCTAGAGAGCAGAAATATCCATACATAAAGGAAACTTCTGCAAGTAAATTATGGAAAGCACTGGAGGATATATTTTTGAAGAAAAACAGTCAAAATAAATTGTACGTGAAGAAGAGACTGTTTCGCTTCACCTATGTTCCTGGTACCACAATGAACGAACATATCACTAGTTTCAATAAGTTGGTCACAGATTTGCAAAATATGGATGACTTGGCCTTGATGTTATTGGGGTCACTTCCTGATGAGTACGAACACCTTGAAACTACTCTACTCCATGGGAATGACGAAATTTCTCTCAGAGAAGTTTGTTCGGCTTTGTGTAGCTATGAACAAAGAAAGGGAGAAAACAAAAGGGCGGAGAAGGAGAAACACTGGTTGTGAGGAGTCGTCCTCAAAATCAAATGAGGAAAAAGAAGGGAAGATCCAAGTCAAGATCTAAACCCAGCAAAGATGAATGTGCCTTTTGTCGAGAAAAGGGGCACTGGAAGAAAGACTGTCCGAAGTTGAAGAATAAGGCCAAACATAACAATGGAAAGGCCATTATGGATTCAAATGTAGCTGATTGTGATGATTCAGACTTCTCATTAGTTACAACAGAGTCATCAACATCATCAGACATATGGTTGATGGACTCGGCTTGTAGCTATCATATGTGTCCCAACAGGGACTGGTTCGTGGAATTTCAAGAAGGAGAATATGGAGTCATCCACACAGCGGATAACAGCCCTCTTACCTCATATGGCATTGGTTCAATACGATTAAGGAACCATGATGGAATGATCAGAACATTGATAGATGTTCGATATGTACCGGATTTGAAGAAGAATCTCATCTCTATGGGAGCCCTAGAATCAAAATGGTTCAAAATCATTGCAGAAAATGGAGTGATGAGAGTATGCTCCGGTGCACTAGTGGTAATGAAGGCCAATTAGAAAAACAATAACATGTACCATTATCACAATAGTACAGTTATTGGGACATCGATAGTAACATCCAGTGACGAAAAAGAGGCAGAAGCAACCAGGCTATGGCACATACGCTTAGGACATGCTGGAGGAAAATCCTTGAAAACTTTATCAGATCAAGGATTGTTAAAAGGAGTAAAGGCTTGCAACTTGGAGTTTTGTGAGCATTGTGTCAAAGGGAAACAGACAAGGGTTAAATTTGGTACAGCGATCCATAATACTAAAGGCATTTTGGATTATGTACACTCTGATGTTTGGGGTCCTTCCAAAACACCTTCATTGGGTGGGAAGCACTATTTTGTAACCTTTGTTGATGATTTTTC